TTGGTCATACAACTAGCAAGTAGAAGATCTGGGATTGAACTCGGGTCTGCCCATACTAGAGTCTGTGGGTTTAACTTCCCCTATGTTGTCTTCGGGGAAGAATTGATATCTTAACAATATTGAGTCTTCCAGTTTATGAAAGCAGTATATGAGTATATCTCTCCTTTTATTTAAATCTTTGATTTCTTTCATAATTGTTTTGTAGCTTTCAGCATATAGATCCTCACATAATTTTTAAAGGTTTACACCTAGTTATTTCATTTTGGGAGTATTATTGGAAATGGAAACTTTAAACATTTTTTCATTTCCAATTGTTCATTGCTAGTGTATAGAAATACAATTGATTTCTGTATATTGACCTTGCATCTTCCAACTTTGCTAAACTCACTTATTAGCTCTAGCTGGTTTTTTTTTTTTTTTTTTTTTCCTGAGACAGAGTCTCGCTCTGTTGTCTGGGCTAGAGTGCCATGGTGTTAGCCTAGCTCACAGCAACCTCAGACTCCTGGGATTAGGCAATCCTTCTGCCTCAGCCTCCCGAGTAGCTGGGACTACAGGCATGCGCCACCATGCCCGGCTAATTTTTTCTATATATATTTTTAGTTGCCCAGATAATTACTTTCTATTTTTAGTAGAGACAGGGTCTCACTCTTGTTTAGGCTGGTCTCGAACTCCTGAGCTCAAGGGATCCTCCCGACTCGGCCTCCCAGAGTGCTAGGATTACAGGCGTGAGCCACCGTGCCCGGTCTTTAGCTGTTTTTTAAGAAAAGATTTCTTGGGATTTTCTATATAGAAAATCATGTATTCTGAAAACAGATACCGTTTTATTTCTTTCTTTCCAAGCTATATGACTTTTATTTCTTCTTCTTGCCTTAATTCACTGGCCAGGACAGCTGGTACAATATTAAGAGTGGTGTAAGCAGACATCCTTATCTTGTCCCCGATCTTAGAGAGAAAGCATTCAGTCTTTCACCACTGAGTGTGTTGTTAGCCGTAGGGTTTTTCTGTAGATGTCATTGGCCAAGTTAAGGAAATTCCCTTCAATTCCTAGTTTGCTGAGAGTTTTTATCAGGAATGGAGGTTAAATTTTGTCAAATGTTTTTTCTACATCTATTTAAGACAATAATATTGACTTTTCCTCTTTAATCTGTTGATATCATGAGTTACATTAACAGATTTTTGAAAGTTGAACCAGCCTTGCAGTTCCAGGATAAACTCTATTTGGTTGTGATATATTAGCCTTTTATTTGTTGCTGTATTCAATTTACTAACATTTTGCTGAAGATTTTTATGTTTATGTTCATGAGGGATATTGGTCTGTAGTTTTCTTTTCTTATAGTGTTTTTGCCTGATTTTGGTCCCAGGGTGATGCTGGTCTCACAAAAGGAGTTGGGAAGTTTTCCAGAAGAGAATGGGTTGAGTTCTTCCTTAAATGTTTGGTAGAATTCAGCAGTGAAGATATGTGGGCCTGGTGTTTTATTTGTTGTTGGAAGGTTTTAAACTACACGTTCAATTCATCAGTACATATAGAGCTATTTAGGCAGGACTGGCCACACAATTTCTAGAGCCTATCTTGGTGAATTCTCCCTGTTGTCACTTAAAAAGAATGTGTATTTTTCTGTTTTGGGTGGTGTGTTCTATAAATGTCAATCGTAAGGTTGATTGATAGTGACACAAATTATCACAAATGGTGACAGTAGACATTAAACTTTTCTCCTGTTAATCTTTCTTTTGCCAGTTTAATTTGCAGACCCCAAGGACTAAACCTAAGTGAGTAGAGTAAAATTTTTTTCTCCCTGACATTGTGTTTTGACCATTTACATTATATATAATTATTAATATGGTTTTATTTAGGTCTACCATTTTACTATTTGTTTTCTTTTGGTTCTTCTGATTTTTCCCTCTATTACCCCTTTCTCATCTTCTATGGATTATTTGAATATGTAAAAACATTTAATTTATCTATTGACTTTTGAGTATATCCCTTGGTAGTATTTTTTAGTGGCTACTCTAGAGATACAATAGGCAGAATCTAATCTTTCACAATATACTTAGAGCTAATATTTTATCACTTATATTTGTCTTCTTCCCTTTATATGTTGTCATAGATAGTGCATCTACATACATTGCAACCCTACCACTTATCATTTTTGTTTTTAATAGTCATATATTTTAAAGAATACAAGAGTAGCAAAATAGTCTTTCATGATTACCCAGATATTTACCATTTTTCTTGCTCTCCCTTCATTCCTAAAGTTACATGTTTTCCTGTGGTATCATTTCCATTTAAGGCAGGTCTGCAGGTGACAAATTCTCTTAATTTTCCTTCCTCTGAGAATGTCTTTTGTTTATTTGATTGATTGATTGATTGATTTTTGTCTTTGCTTCTGAAGGATATTTCTGCTGGCTACAGAATTCTGTATTCACAGTTCTTCCCCTATTCTACCCCCTCCCTCCCTGCCCAACACTTTAAAGGTGGTGTTCCATTATCTTCTGTCTTTCATGGTTTCTGATGAGAAACTATGGTAATTTGAATTGTTATTCCCCTATATGTCATTTTTCTCAAGGTTAACAGAATTTTTTTTCCAATCTTCTTTTCTCTTTATCCTTCAGATTGTATAATTTCTATTGATCTATCTTCAAGCTGTGGACTCTTTCCTTTGTCCACTCCTTTTTGTTGTGGGGCCCATCAGTGATTTTTTTTTCATTTCAAATATTGTGTTTTGCAGTTCTAAAATTTCCATTTGGTTTTATTTTTTATAGTTTCTGTTTTCTGCTGAGAACTTCTACCTTGTTATTTATTTCAAATGTGTTTACCTTTATCTCATAGAATATAGTTATAATAGTGCTTTAAAGTCAACATCTGTATCATCTTGGAATTGGCATCTGCCAATTTTCTTTCCCCTTAAGAATTGGTCACATTTACCTGATTCCTTGAAAGTCGAAATAGCTTTAGAATATATTCTGGACATTTTGAATATTCTGATGTGTAGATTCTGATTCCTGCTAAATCCTCTGGAGAATTTTCATTTTTTGTTTTGCTTTAGTAGAGAATCAACCTAGTTAGGTTCAGACGGCAAGTTCTGTCTCTCCTTCTGAGGGCAGTGATTCCAAACTTAGTTTAGTTTTCCAAGCCTTTGATATGCTGCTTTGTGTCTGTCCTGTGTTGATACCCTTTAGGGATTGTCTGGACCTTGGGAACTGGTTTAAATCTTACTTGAGTTCTCAATGCCTTTGATATGCTGCTTTGGATCTTTCATGCATATGAAGTTCAAGGGAGAGAACTTTGTATCAAGAACTTTGTATCTCTGCTGGGACATCACATCCTTCAGGAAGCTTTTAATGATGCCCCAAGTCTGGGATGGGCCTCTCCTCTGTGTATCACAGCATTGGTTCTACTCTTAGCATATCGAGTTGTAATCACTTGTGCACCTGTCCACTTGTCAGACTAGACTGTAAGCTCTTCGAGGGCAAGGACTGACTCTTGTTCACTACTATTTTCCCAGCATCATGCCTGGTGGGCACTTATCATATATTTGTTAAATAAATAAATAAAAGATGACAGATGGGAAGTGGGGTGCATGGAAGGGATGGCAGAGGGTGGAAATGTATGGAAAGATCACACAGGGCTTGTAGGCCATGTTAAGGAGCTTGGGCTATTTCTGGAAGGCAATAGGGAGCCACTGAGGGCTGTAAGCAGCGGTGAGTCATGATCAGTTTTCTATGTGAGAAAGACCTCTGTAGCAGCATCATGATGAATGAGTTGGATGGAGACAAGAGTAGGGACAGAAAGACCAGGAGGTTCCTGAAAAGATTCCAGAGGACCTGGAGATGGGCTGGGACCTGGGGAACAGGTAGAGGGTTCATCTTTGTCAGGAGGAGGGCACCCCTGAAGGGCGAAGGTGATTCTTAGAGAGAAATGGGCTACTTGGCACTTGTTTTCAGAGCCTTTGCTACATCTCCTCTGCCTTGCAGAACTGTGAGCCCCTTCAGGAAAGGGCCTGGACCCTCTTTCCTCAACGCCTCCCCTGTGCTCAGGACACTAGCCTCTGCCCTTGGCAAGTCCTCAGCAGGGTGGGCTCATGAGCTGGTGAGTTGGCGCAGTCTAGGAGGCAAACTCCCCCACACTCCTCCAGTGTGATTCAGAAGGACAGGCCAGAGTCCTCGTGAAGTTTGCTTGGCAAGTTTATTGAAAACCCAAGAACACAAAGAGTGGTACAAACGACACCCCACCCCACCCCAGCCCCAGGCCTCCTTGGGGCTTGCAGACACAAACCCTGCTGCGGACAAGGCTGGGCCTCACGCCACCAGCAGGGCAGGGGCACAGGGATTGTTGCAGAGCCCACCTCTCCACCTGCACCCCATCCACCTCACCGACTCACATGCCAGAGTTAAGCCAATAACCCAGGAAGAGAAAGAGCCAGGGCATATGCCACTGGGAGAAGAACCATCTCTGGGGACTTAGGGATCCCTGGGCCACCAAGGGCTGTGGATCCTCTGAGTCAGGAAGAGAAGGAAAGAACCTTCTCCTGCCAGGGAAAGGAAGAGGAAGGAAGCCAAGGATGGCTGGCTAAGGACGCCTACGGTGTGGACAGTTAACTCTCCATTCTCTAAATTGAGCCAAAGCTATCCATGGTGATGGTGCCCAAACACATTCTTTCTGGCTTTGAACTGTTCCTTTTCTCCCAGGTCCATCGATTTTTGTAGTTGTGTTGAATCTGTATTTGTCAAGCTGTTGCTGGACAGTGAGGAGTGATTCAAAGGAATGAAATTGGGAGGCAGGGAGAAGCTAGCCTGGCTGTGGCTGCCGATAGAGGATCTCTACACGGCGAAAAATTCCTCCAAGAGGACCTGCGGTCAGGCAGAGCAGCCCGGGGGAGAGCCAGAGGTAGGCTTGCTGGCAGGAGGGGAGCTGGAGGCCCCCAGGCCCAGAGTGCACGGAGGCAGGAGGTGTCCAGCTGATTCTCCTCTGGCAGCGGCGGTGGCGGTGTGGGACTCGGCTCTCAGTACTTGGTCCGGGGGGAGGCGGTGGTAGACACGAAGCGGACGCTGGAGCTGCAGCTGCTGCGGCCGCCGCTGCAGCTACTGAAGCCGCCAGGGGTGGGCAGGGGGCAGGGGACCCTGGGGGTGCAGGCCTCGCCCGCGAGCACCGAGCTGCCCCTGGCTCCCGCGCTCAGCACATCCCCGCCCAGGCTCGAGCTGCAGGAGGTCAGGACCCCGCGGGTGGCGCGGAGGCCGCTGCTGCTGGAGAAGGTGACCCCGTTCCGGGACAGGGCGGAGCCGGCGACCAAGGGCTCAGGCCCGCAGATCACGCCGCCCCGGGAGCTGCTCACGGCTGCAGGGGGAGGAGGAAAGCGTCAGGGAACTGCCACTGCAGGGGCCCAGGCCTACATGCTCCCCCTGGGCTGTACCTGGGGGGTCTGGCTGCTGGGAAAGGCCCTGGGGGTGGGAAGCAGGGCTTGTGGCATCTGGGGAAGTGGTCCCTACTGTCTACACAGTCAGTATCCACTTTGCCCTTCTCTTGTCTGGGTGGTTAATCAAACATCCAAATTGAAATGGAAGAATTCAGCCAATTCCCCAGATGTCTGCATATACCCGTAGGTTGACTGTCATGTGTGTGTGGCCAAAGTTGGGTTGGGTTGTGTGAGGCGAGCAGTGAGCTGCATTCTCCAGACAGCTGGAGCAGGAGCCTCCACAGAGCCATGGGGCTCTTCTCTTCCAATTATATTATGTCCCTTGCGGTCCCCACATTTCCCCTAGCCTGGTGCATGAGAAACTCCTCCAACACTAGTCCCTTCTCAGTTCTCTCCTAAACTCCTGGTGGCTCTGCTCTGTGGCCCTCAGCTCTCCACTGGGCACGCTGCCATGCCCCAGGGCTCAAATCCGACTATACCTTGCCTAGACCCGCCCCATCTGCATAGGGGCATACTCTTGTCTCCTCTTACCAGGATCCTTTCTGCCATCTGCCATCTCCCCTCAGGCTTGACCTCCTGCAGAAAGCCATGGCTTGCTGCCCCCGATCCCCAGCCCCTGTGGTCACCTGTAGCTCTGACTGTCTGACCCAGACAGCTTAGCCCTCGGTTCCACCACACAGCAGTGTACACGTGTGTTTTTGGAGTCAGAAATCTGGGTTTGAGTTCTGGCTAGCTTTGTGAGTTCTGGCAAATTACTTATTTTCTCTGAGCAGGCAAAGCCGGTATGCCAATGCCTGCTCCTCCCCCAGGGATCCTTCTAGGTTAGGTCGACAGTGGCTAGGACTCCTCTTCTCAAGGTCCTAATTCTAGAGAGCTGGCTTGCCTTGCTCGTGCCCCCACCCTACGTGCTTTGGGCACAGTCAGTACTTTGACTGTCTGGCAACAGCAGGGATACCTCTATTCACCTTGCTGCAGTCCCTGCATCAGGGGAAGAGAGTCCTCCCTGGCACAGGTCTTTCTATTCCTTCTAAGTCCCCAAGATGGCTCCCTCAAAGGACAAGGCCACTCAAAGCAAAAAGGCTGACTCTTTTCCGGAATCCTCTCCCACCTCATAGGCCCTGCAAACCTCTGTGAATGCTGCGCTCCGGGGAAGGCAGGGTCTGGGGGGGGGGTGGTCTCAGACCTCAGCTGAGGAGGTGTGCCCAGTCCAGGGGCCAGATGGCTCCAGCTCCCCTGACTACCATGGCCAGACCAGCCATCTCAGGCCTCCTGATCCCAAGGTGGGCCTGAGTTTAAAGGAAGTTTGAAGGAAGGAGAAATGTGTGAAGAAGACTTAAGTTTCTTACATATGTTCACTGGTCCGACACCTTCGCTGATCCTGGAGGGAGAAAGAAACACGTCATTTTACATGTGCTACTGTTCCCTGAAAACCTACTTGCCATAAAAAGGGCTTTCTTGTCTGAGTGGACCAGTGGAGCAGTGGTTCTTATTCCTGGCTGTACACACAACTGGGGAGCTTTGAAAGACTCTATATTCCTAGACCCTATCCAAAAACGATTAAATTAAAATATTTGAGGAAATGTATTATTATTATTAATTTTAGCAAACTAACCAGCCAAACAAAGCTCCCAGTGATTCTGGTGCAGCTTGTCTACAAACTTGCATTTGAGAGGCAAAGATCTAGAACCTTCTTCTAATCCCCTGACAAGGGCAACCCAAGTACAACCATGTATTGGGCAACCCAATACATTTTCTGTTCGCAGAAAATGTATTGTCACCTCTAGAAATGGCTCATTTCCGCAATTCTTCACCTAGTCCCCTCTTCTTACTTAGTCTTTCCAGATGCCGGAGTCTGACTGCACACCCTCCTGCTGCCCTGAGGGTGCTCACCTGCACTCCTCGCCCTCCAGCAGGCGCCTGTAGGTGGCGATCTCGATGTCCAGGCCCAGCTTGGCGTTCATCAGCTCCTGGTACTCACGTAGCTGCCGGGCCATGTCCTGCTTGGCCTGCTGCAGGGCGGCCTCCAGATCTGCCAGCTTGCATTTGGCATCATTGAGGGCCACCTCGCCCTGCTGCTCAGCCTCGGCCACCGCAGCCTCCAGTTTGGCGCGCTACAGGGAGGGCAGTTCGCAGGTGGGCTCTGGCAGGGCCACGGGATTCCCAGGTGGGGTTAGAAACACTGCCCCTCTTGGTGGGAACATAGCCTGGTGCCAAGCCAGGGACAGACTCCATGGATGCTTTCCCGGGAATTGGTGGTTCTGTAGTTGATGTCACCAGGGAATGAAGAGTTGCTTGACTTCAGTTTCCATCCCTGCTGACTTTGCCCTGTCTGATTTCTGCTGCCCCAGACCCACAGGGTCCAGAGAGTCAACTTACTCTTTCTGCCTCTCCTCCCGCTCTGGGTCGGTCCCAGCCTTTTCTTCTATACGGGAAGCTCGCTCTCTCTCCTTTCCATATTATCCTCCTCCAGGAAGTCTTCTTGGCCTAATTGCCCCATTCCTCTGTTTCTGAGTCTTGGTGGTCGCCCTCACCTCCTCAGACTTGGGCCCTGTGGCTCGGGGCCCTGCCTCTCCTCCTTCTGGGGCTTCCTCTTACTTCCTTTGCCCACCTGAGCCTTGGCGTGCTCGATCTCTGCCTTCAGCCTCTGGATCACGCGGGTCAGTTCGTTGATCTCGTTGCGTGTGTTGCGCAGGTTGTCACAGTGCTGGCCAGCCGTCACTCGCATCTCTTCATACTGGCAGGAGAGGAGGGTATTTTGAGGGTCCAAAGGTCAGGGCAAGACCACAGCTCCCACTAAGTAGGGGCTTCAGACCTCCACTGGCCCTCTCTGTTGTATATGAGTCTTACCCCCAGAGCTGCCAACACCCCTTCGCTAGCCTCGCCCACTCACCTTGGTCTGGTACCAGGCCTCAGCATCAGCCCGGCTGCGCCTGGCCACCTCCTCATACTGGGCCTTGACTTCAGCAATGATTCCATCAAGGTTCAGGTCCCGGCTGTTGTCCATCTTCACAATGACCGATGTCTCTGAGATGTGCGACTGCAGCAGCTGGATTTCCTGTGTTGGGGGATCAGCAAGACAAATGGGCTCAGAGTCCCATTCAGTGGCCGGGACTCTGCCACAGGGTCCCCAGGAAGTGGTGTCAGGGGCAGAGTGCATTGCTCATTGGTTCAGAGCAAAGCAAGACCATCCAAACGGAGGGCAAAGAACAAGACATGTCTGAGAACAATTTCAGTCTGACTTTGGAGCTTTTGTTATATTCTTGGAGACAGTCCTTTAACATGCTACCTTGCTTAAGGGAGTATCAAAACCATGGGGTCCTAGGAGCTTGGTGGCGTGGTGTGGGGCCCTACTGGGGCTTAAACTTTTCTTTGGATGATCTACAAAGTGGCTGTGCTGGTTACAGGCCATTGAGAGCTGACAATATTTTAGAGCATGGTGGCATAGGAATCCCTATATCCCAAGTCCTTAATAGAACCAGGGGGTTTGGAACTGGCCCGCAAGATGAGGGCTGCAGAGGGAGCTTTCTTCAGCCTTTCCACTCACAGCCAGAAGTGCAGCTCTGGCTGGGTCCATGCCAAACCAGAAAAATTGTTTGGAAAGCTAATTAGGTCAAACACATTTTTTCTTACCTCTGTTAGCAAATCAACTTTCCAGAGTCCTCTGGTTAGTAGACAGGAAGTGACCTTTCCAGCCCCCAGTCTGTAGATTGGTCAATAAGGAGGTGGATCACAGATCCAAGGAGTTTATTCATGGACCTGAGGCAGGCTGCTCAATGTACCTCCTCCGTTTGCAGGTACATGAGCATACAGAGATGGGAGGAAAGATGTGTGATACCCTGTGTTTGAGGATGTGTGAGCAAGACTCTGTCGTTAGGGAGTCCAGGCCAAGCACTGATCTCCTTGGACACCTTAGAGAAGAAAATCCCTCACCTCCATGTACAGGGCTTTCAGGAAGTCAATTTCCTGAGTTAGAGTATCCACGTTGGCCTCTAGGTCAGATTTATGCAAGAAAGCTGTGTCCACATCCTGCACGAAAGAGAGAAGGATTAAATACTCATTACCTGTGTACTGTTTGGCCTTCCCACCTAGACAAGGTCCGGAGATGGGTGGGAAGATTGGGTCAGTCCCACAGGCCTCCCACAAGTGGTGAAGTCCCTGGGGGGAGTGACGCTGACTATTGCCCTTCTCCCTACTACCGTGTGAAACTCCCCCACTGGCCGTTGGACATTTTGTGATGCTCATTTAGAGGCAAGAAAAATCTAGCTAATCCAGGACACTTAGGTCATCCTTTCATACCTCTGCTCTCATGTGACCCAATCCCAAATAGTCTGAGACCAAATCAGAACATCATGGGGAAGCTTCTGTGATCTCAGGGGTTCCACTGTCTCTGTGTGTGTCATTGCAGACTCCACAGGGCCACCTGGCTAGTTTCCTGGGGGCCTCGAGAGCATTTGCTTGTCTGGAGGAAAGTTCACCTGGCCTGTGGCTCTCCCTTACCTTCTTCAGAGCCACAAACTCATTCTCAGCATTGGCCCGGAATCCCACCTCCTCTTCATACCTGGTGCGATAGAGATTGAGATGGTGAATTCTCATTCTGAACCGAGAACCGATTATGCCAATTCCCCGGTGAACCTCTTAAGACCTCTCGGTTCATCCAGGATAATAGTTCCCTGCTGCTACCCACACACCATCATCTTCTCTGTGCCATCTTTAAGACTTTTTATGTGTCAGTACCCCTCTGTTTCTCAAGATCCCTTTTACTTTCTCAACTTGGATTTGGGGTCTGAAAATCAGGTCCATTACTATGCTCCTCTGGTAGAAGCAACTTAGGGTCATTGCCCTTGACCATAGAGGAAGTAGGACCCAACTCGATGCTGAACATGGGCACTGTTTTCAGAACCAGAGTGCTCCTTTTCCCTCAGAAGGGTCTCCTTCTCCCCTTCACATATCACTGCCCCCACCTCTGTCCCCAGGCGGGGTATGGTAGCCAACATTCAATGCTGACCCTTCAGCTGCTCTCATCTGAGCTGGGCTACTTATTTGGGGGCCAGCCTATGCCTGTCCTTGGGCTGCACAGACCAGATGTCACTCACTTCTTCTTGAAGCCCTCAAGGACATCCTGCATGTGGCTGCCCTCAGCCTGGAGCCGGGCCTGGTCACTAAGCAGTGCCTCCAGCTGCCTCCGCAGGTTGGTGATGAAGTTCTCAAAGAGGGGCTCCAGGTTGCTCCTGACACATTTCTGCTCTTGGAGGAAGCTCCACTTGGTCTCTAAAAGCTTATTCTGCTGTTCCAGGAACCGCACCTAAGTCCACAGTGGCAAAGAAATGGCATTTGAAGGGCTTGATGGGGACATCCACACCTCCACCAGTTCCTCAGATGGCTGTGAGGACTCAACCACGTGTGGACAGTGTTTTCTCCTCTGTTGACTTTCATTCGACCTCTAACTCAGGAGAAGCTGAAAGGGCAGGTCTGTGACCCCCTCCCCATGCTCAGCCAGGCTTAGCCACAAATAGAGGCTTATGAACCACAGCACTTTAGTACCATTTCCCTGCCTACCCTCTAAGAAAGTCATCAGCCAGTTCAGCAGGAAGTTGGAAAGGTTGATTCTGCTTAAGTTGGGGTTTGCCAGTATCTGAGCACTGACGCCAGCCATCCCTGGCAGAGAATGAGGAGGAAAATACATTTGGGGTGAGATTATGGGGCTAGGAAGGGGAATCTCAGATCATAACACCAACATCTCAGGTATTCTATTGGCTGAAATGTGTAGAGCTGGAAGAGAACTTAAAGATCATTTGCTCCAGCCCCTCATTTAGAGAAGAAGAAACTGAAGCTTACAGAGGTTATACTCCATTCTCAGATACACTCGGAGCATTCCATCTCCGCGTGGACAGGCTTGGTGATTTGTCTGCTCTTTCGGATGATCCACGTCACTGTTTCCCTGCATTGGCCTGAAGACCAGTGACTACTAGTGGCCATTCCCTACTATTTCCCTCAATCTAGCCAGCTTGGCAGAATCCTGAAACTCCATGTGGGGGCATGAATTCTTTGTTTTTTGTATAAAAATTACTCAACTCCATACTCCATTCTCCTAAGCCTAGCATCTGAGGACCTCAGAAACTGTGAAAACCTCATAAAGAGCATACCATCCAAAACCTGGCTAAAATCCTGATGTTCCAGCCTGTTCAGGATCTACTCATAAGTGCCCTAATGGTTGGCCTCCTCAGTCTTGGCTGGATGGTCCTCTTCCCTCCAGAAGACACAGCCACTGCCTTACTCTAGCCCACCTTGCATCATTTCCTCTGGACTGTCCTTGCTCTGCAGCAAATCAACCCAGAAACCATGCCATAATGCCGTTGGTAGACACCTGATGGACCTGGGGTCAAGGTCGATGCCCTAGGCTGGTTCTTTTTAAGAAAGAGATCACCCCAATACATTTAGCTTTCATCATTCTAGACCCACAGATTCAGCTATCATAGGTACCTTGTCAATGAAGGAGGCAAACTTGTTGTTGAGGGTCTTGATTTGCTCCTTCTCATCCTTTTTCACCCTCTGGGCATTGGGATCAATCTCCAGGTTGAGGGGGGTCAGCAGGCTCTGGTTGACAGTCACAGCTGTGATAGATGGAGCTGCTGGGACTCCAATTCCTCTGAGTCTGTAGCCGAAGCCAGGGCCGCCAAAGCCATAACCAAGGCTGCTGCCAGCTCCGCCCCCCAGACCAACACCACTGCCGGCCCCAAAGCCCAGACCAACACCATTTCTACCACCAAAGCCCAAGGCCATCCCTCTGCCAACACCAAAGCCAACTCCACAGCGGATGGGACAAGGGCCTACAGCAGCTATCCGGGGTGAGTGTGACCCAAAGTTGATGACGCTCCGACTACCAAAGCCACCAAAGCCGCCAAGGCCCCGGAAGCTGAGCCCACTCCTGCAGGAGACAGAATTGGCCTGGAAGTGGTTCAGGTTCTGGGGTGTTATGGCTGAGCAAGAGCTGAAGTTGCCCACCCGGTGACCAGAGGTGACGCGGTAGGAGCGGCAAGACATGGTGGCTTCCTGGGTGGGAGCAAAGGAGCGAGTGTAGAGTGGGAAGCTGGAGCTGGGAGTCCCTTTGAGACCAGTGGATCCTTCTCACCCCTTTTATGTGTGTGGCGATCTGAGGCTTGGCCCCATAAAACTAAGAAAAAGCCATTTGCAGGCATTTATGAGCTTGGGTAGTTAGCAGAAACTCTTCATGCCTGTAACCTCCTTAACAACGGGCTAACCCAGACACACCTAGTCTCATCAGGATGAGGGCTGTAACATCAAACACTAAACATTAAAAACACATAAATATATTAACATTATAGTCCTATTTTCCCCCCATAAGTCCGCCACAATTGACAACATGGGGACGTTAATTTGCTTTGGTCGTAAATGCAATAGCCTTTTTCACTGCAAGTGTGGCTAACCACCAGAAAGTTAGGGTGGTAAGAGTGCTAGCAAGAGGCTCACAAGGGATGCATCTATCTATGAAGATATCGTCCACCAAAGAGACGTGGGTGTGTGCAACAGAGAGACAGGGTCTGCACAGCTTCAGGTAAATAATGGTATGGAGTTTGTAATACAATTTATTACATCTCTGTAGATAGACACATCTCTGATTTGAGACACTCAAAGGATATTCATTCATTATTTGTTCGTTTATTCATTCATTGATTCAACAATTATTGAGTGCCTACTCTGTACCAAGCATGTGCTTGGTGTTGAGGGTGCCAAGGTAGAAAGATGGCCTCTGTTCTCAAGGTAGTGGGGGAAGATTTATGTTAAGATAAATCCACCAGTCAACACTTTTGTGACATAATTTGAGGCCAAGGCATGTGGCCTCTGTTTGACTGGATGCTTGGATTCTACTTGGAAGCGGATGTGCACTGTGACCAGAAGTACCCAGCTCAGGTGTGCACAAATTTCTATTTCCAACCATCAACTGTGTGTCTGAGGGTGGAAAGGAGCAGAAAAATAATAACAAGAGAATACTTCTTGTCAAGATCACCGGCAGCTTCCATGTTAACGTTGGTGGTCTTCTCAACCCTCATTGTACTTGACTTACCAGCCGTATTTGACATAGTTGGCCATGTCTTTTCTCTTAAAACACTTTTTTCTTTTGTTCCATACACTACACTCTTCTGATTTCTTGCCACGCTTTCATTCTTCTTAGCTAGCTCCTCCTCACATCCCCAACCTATAGACACTGCACAGTCCCTGGGCTCGACCTTGGCACCCATTCTCATCTTTAGACTCATTCCCTTGGTGATATCATACGGACTCATGACTTTAAATGCTATCTATCATTAATGACTCCAAGGCACATCTCTGCCCCAGACTCCACCCCTGTAATACTGTATATTTTAATCAATATCTCTATTTGGATATCAGCTATGCATCTCAAACTTAATACAGTTGTCCTTTGGTATCTTAGGGGGAAGGGTTCCAGGACGCCCTGCAGATACCAAAATCCACTGATGCTCAAGTCCCTGACATAAAATGGCACAGTATTTGCATATAACCTATGCACATCCCCCTGTATACTTTAAATCATCTCTAGATTACATGTAATACCTAATGCAATGTCAATGCTATGTAGTTACAATACTATATTGTTTAGGGAATAATGACAAGAAAAAAAGTATGTGTGTGTTCAGTACAGACACAGCTTTTAAAGAATATTTTCCATCTACGGTTGGTTGAATCCACAGATGCAAGACCCACAGAAACAGGTCTGACTTTATATCCCAAACTGTTCTCCTAATTGTTCCTACTAAATATGTTCCGCTTGCCAACTTCACTATCCCTGCAAGGCTCAGGCCAAAATTCTTGGGTTCTTCCTTTTGTCTTCTGTTTTTTTATCCATATCCCACATCCAATCCACTGGCACATCCTCCCTTCACGACATACCCAGACTGCTACCTCTTCTCCCAGCCCCACTGCTCCCTTGCTGGCCCGAGCCCATCACTTCTCACAGCATCTGCTCAACCGTCCTCCCCGCCAGTCTTCCAGCTTCCTCCCTTGCCCCTTTAGATTTTTCTTAGCTCCTTTGATCCTTTAAAACCACATTAGATCATGTCATTTCCATGGTCAAAACTCTCCATTGTTTCCCAGCTACTCGGAGTCCCTGCCCTGCAAGGTGCTACACAGGGCACCTCTCCCGTCCTTGACCTCTTTCCCTCCACCGTCCTGCTGCCCGTTCCTCTCCAGCTGCTTGGCCCTCAGGGCTGTTCACGAAACAGGCAGGGAGACTTCTGCCTCAGACACTCACCTCCTCGCTGTTTCCTCTGATGGGAACTTTTTTCTCATCTTGGCCACAGCTATATGTGGCCTCAACTCTTCCAGGGCTTTGTGTATACATCACCTTCTCACCCGCTGTTGAAAGCCCCCGCCCCAAGTCCTCCCTGTCCTCCTGCCATGCTCCCTTCTCTCCTTAGCACGTATCATCATCCAAGGTCCTCTCCTGTGTGGACTTGCCTGTTGTAGTCTAACTGCCCTGGCTGGGGCGTCAGCTGCAGGAAGCCTGCAGGCACTGCTGTGTGTTTTGTTCTCCCTGGGGTCTCCAGGGTTTAGGAGAATGTGGCACATGCCGTGGAGTTTCATTGTGTGAATGGATACACTGCAAAATTAAAAGCAGGAGGAAAAAAGGGAGAAAGGAGAGGGAGCATAAAGAAGAGGAATTTGGGCATTTGGTTTTGTAGAATTTCAGGAAAAAGAGACTCCGGCTCCCACATGGACAGGAATGGCCCTGGGGAGGACGGGAATGACCCTGGGAAGGACGGTGGTGCAGAGACCCAAGAGCTCCCAGGAGAAGCAGTCCAGTCTGCCCTGCACCTCTGGTCTCTGGGGTCTGAGTCAGGCTGCTAGAAGGGAAGCGCATTCCACTCCTCTGAGCTAGGTAAGGGGTTCCAGGAGGTTGGGAAGGGGACCGGAGGATGCCCCGTGGAGATGAAAAGGGAGGGAGCAGGAGGGATGGCCTAGACAGCACCAGTGAGAGCAGAAGACTTGATCCTGATCTTGGAGCCAGATGGACCTGGGTATAATCCCAGTTTTGCCACCAACCAGCTGTTTATTGTCACCAGGCACAAGGGCCACTCGAAACCATGTCAGTAATCACCCCTATGTGTGCCAAGGGCCCTGGGGAGATCGTAACCTCTCTAAGCCTCACTTCCTGGTGTGTGGCGTGGAGGCACACCTGCTTTGCAGTGGCATGGGCATTGAACGGGAACATGTCTGGGATGTGCGTTGCATAGTGCCTGCGGCTGTCACTGCTGCCCACTTCTTTCCCTGCTCTTTCCTCCCTCCCTGCCTCCCCTTTCCTCTCACTTTTGGTCAATCCTCCCTTCACTTCTGAGCAGTCCTCCCTCTTCCCGTCCAGCACCCATCTGTTTCCCACCCCGGGCTGAAGCATTCCGACCCCATTAGCCATTCCTATGCTGTCCCATGTCCTAGCTTCCTTCAACCCTGATCAGGCCAAGTGGGGTGGGGCTAATTGGGACTGGTCAAGTATAATCCCTGTTCTGGGATGAGCTGTCGCCATCGGCAGTTTATAGGTCAGAGACACTGTTTCGCCAGACGATGTGTAACACAACTCTCAGGCATTTTAGAGGGTGGTAGGTGGAGAGGGGGTAGGAGTTGCCCTGGCAGCTCTGGGCTGGAGGTTTTGCTGCAGCGACAGTTTTGTTGCTGTTGTCAGCCAGCCTGAACTTAATCCCAGAAATCTGCTGGCCCAGCCCAGCCTCAGCCCCTCCGCTGGGTTACTGTACACTGCCTGCTGGCTCATTCGATGCTATCTGTGGGGTGGGCATGATGGGGACGAGTCAGAGAGCTTCTGTTTCGCCCAGGGACGAGTTTGTGCTGGTGAGAGGCTAGGGAGGTTCTCCTGCTGAGACCTGCCACTGGGAAAGGAAGCTCAGCAGTCCCCCAGGGTCGGAGTCGGGTTGGGGTGCTGCATCCACCCTTGCCAGGACCTCAGACTAATGAACAGTTAGAGGGAATTTGTCACCTCCCAGAGAGATAAAGCACCCTTCTCGTTTGGTCTCCCTCCTCCCTGCCCTTATAGGAATGCTGATTTTTTTGCAGGTTTAATTCAAATGTCTCATATTGCCCACATAGCTGCCACCTGTCCAGAGTGAAAGTGTTGCTCCTCGTAGGTATCTAGCTCAAGGTGGCAACCAACCTTTATCTGGGTGCTAGTGTGTACCTGATGTTGTCTTTGGGGCTGGGATGGCTGGGACAGCCCTCTTCCTTCTACCAGGTGCAGTGACCCTAAGCTACCCCTCCTCTGCTCACGGTGCCACTTCTGAAGCCACTTCCCCAACCCAAGCCCCTGCCAGAATTCCTTCTGGCATGATCCCAGCTGGAGAGTGGCAGTAGTGGGTAGACTTGGGCCACAGATGTGACAGGCATGAGGGAGGGCCACTGGGGCAGAGGCAGAGGCACCTGGGGAGAAGAGAGGCTGCAGGGGAGCACCTGAGAGCGGTGGAGGCAGAGGACAGGAAGTGGGAGGCCTTCTGTGGAGACAGACACAGACATGGAGCAGCTCCATCCACCCTCCCATGCCTATCAGGGCTGTTTCCCCTCCTGTCCTCACTAGGGTACTCTGAAGCGGCTGGGATTTGGATTCTCTAGGCCCAGTCAAATGCAGTGAAGCTCTGGCTTCATGCAGGCCGTTCTCTCTCTTGCCCAGGGCAGGGGGCTGGGCCTGTTCCTCTGGTACCTCAGCACCCAGCGCAGAGCTGGCCCAGAGAAGAAGCTCTGGAGGCGTTTGCTGAGTTGAATGGAATGAGGATGGCCCCGCTGCCACCAGGAGGCACCTTTGTCCCACCTGCCTTGAGTCATCTCCTCCGGTGGGGAGGAAGGGAGAATGGGGGCCCTGCTGCAGGCCCTGAGGGGAGTCCTTGGTGGATGTTGTTCCAAGTGCATGCCCGGCCTTGCTCACGCCCAGGACTGAGCTGGGCGCCCGCCACTAGGAAGAGCGGTGCGGATGGAAGGCTCCAGGCCCTCCCCTGTCCAGCAGGCATCCTGGGACCTGCCAGGCCCCAGAGCCCACCTCCCAGCAGGGAAGGGGATCCTTCCATCCCTCTCCTCCTTTATTGTGACCTCAGTCGAAATACCGAAGGGGCGTTTCCTGCCTCCGGTAGTGTCTGTGGGATGGAGGTGGGCGGTCTCCTTGGAATCGCTCAGTTTTTATTGACTTGGGGACAGAGCGTCCCTGTAGTTTCCAGAGCTCTGAGTTATTAATCAGCAGGGAGCTGACCTGGCTTTAGGGCCAGGCCAGAGTGCGGAGGCTCCATGTGGGAGCTGAGGCTCTCTGCCCTGTCGTTCCCGTCCCTCCTTCCCCGGATGTGGACATGCGTCCCTGGAATCGCAGACCCCGGTGGGATGGGCTGTGTGCCTGGCTCGCAGCTGCGGGCGCGTCAGCCTGGAGCCCCCGAGCTGCTTTTCCTGACAGGCCTGCTGGCCTTCAGGGTTCAGGCCGGCCTGCCGCTCCTCGGGGAGCTCCTGGAGTCCGTGACTACAGTGGGACCCTCGGTGTCGTCCGTGGCCCTCTGCTCTGCCACCCTCACAACGATGCGCACAGCTGTGACTTCGTGCTCCAGGGCCGTTCTTCCTGTTAGGCCGTGAGACCCATGAGGTGTGGGGCCAGGGCTCCATTTTTTCATATAGCCCTATTGAGATATCCATATTACTGTACAATTGGCTTGTTTAAAATGCATGATTCAGTGGCTTTAGTATGTACAGCCATCACCACAGTCAATCTTAGAACATTTTCATCTCCTCAGAAAGAAGCCTTTAGCCATTAACTCACATGACGTCCCCCAACCTCCGTCTCCCGCTCCCTCCAGCCCTAAGCAATCATGTCTCTGCTTTTTGTCTCTGTCACTTCCCGATTCTGGACTGTCATCTGAATGGAATCGTACAATAGGTGGGCTTTTGTGACTGGCTTCTATCACTGTGCATGTTTCAACGTTCATCCGTGTTGTAGCACGTCCCAGTCCTCTGTTCCTTTTTATGGGTGAATGATGTTCCATTTATCTGTTGATGGACAGATAAACAAAATGGATAAAACATGGACTATCTACAAAATGTTTCTACCTTTTGGTTATTGAGTAATGTTGCGATAAATATTCATGAGCAGGTTTTTGTGTGGACATACATTTCCATTTCTCTCGGGTATATACCTAGAGCCGAATTGCGGGGACCTATGGTGACTCTGACATTTTGGGGAACTGCCAGACTGTTTTCCACAGGAGCTGCCCCATTTCACATTCTCTGTCACGGGCCCTGGGTGCCGTGTCTGCTGTGCTTACTGGGTAAACTGGCCCTGACGGGGGCTGCCTTGTTCACCACCGTGTCACAGCCCCTGGGTAGCCCAACCCACAGCAGGCGCTTGATCAATACGTATCGAGTGAATGAGACTGTGAAGGATGGGTTCTTCTGAAAACACTGCCCGCGAATCTGCGACTCTAGCCTTCCTTTCGGCCGCTGTTCTTACAATCTTCTCTGTGAGCCTCTCTCTGACCCCCTTTCCAGGCACAATCATCAGTTGCTTCTTGTTGCTCTCATGCCCTTTGGCGCTCATTATTTATGACTCCTCTGTGAGGTTGAGCGTCCCGGGGTTAAGAGGGGGTCTTAGTCACTCTGCATCAGCAGCCTCTAATGCGGGGCTGGGTGCAGAGTGGGTGCTCTGTGGGGGCTGGGGAGGGGGAGAGGGGGGCCACAGAGGGAGAGAGCCCCTAGGAGGGGCTGTTCCAGGGGACCAGTGAGTCAAAGGGAGGGGACTGAAGCCTCTCAGGGGGTGAAACTGCTGCCACCAAGTCGTGTCTCCAGGTTTCAGGCTAAGTGGGGAGAGGAGACTGGAGTGTCCTGGTCCTCCTGCCCTCTTCACTGCCTTTCCCACACTGGGGCTGTCCAGGCACCGAGGATGGTCCAGGACAGGGGCAGAGCCCAGGGCTTGGGGGCTGCTAAGCATGGACATGACAGGGGACCCCACAGATTTTCCCGAGGCCGTATGCAGCGCACCACGCAGTGAGTGCAGTGAGTGCAGTGGGGAGGCCTGTGCGCAGCAGGCACGCGGTTTTAACGCGGTGAGCGACTTGCGGACCGCTGGGGTGTGTTGTGCAGGTTTCGAGTGCAGTTTGTACAGAGCCATATTTATTCCACAGGCCACTCACAGATCGTTTACAGGTAGTTTCCCCATTTGTATAATAACCTTCCTTTCCACTCCCAAAGCTCCAGTCCCCAAAGGCTGCTCATGGGCTCCCCTCAGCCTTATGTGTCCCCCACAGAGCAGGGTGAATTATCCTGATGCCCACAGTCTGTGAACAGAGACATTATTTTGGGAACAGGGAAGCCCAGACGGGCACACACAGCAGAGGCCTTGAATCTCGGGTGGGCCGGGCTGGGCAGGAGGGGCTGCCGGGAGGTGGAGTCAGCCAGCACCTCCCCTGCTCTCTCCTAGCCCCTGAGCCAACAAGTCGCCTGGGGCAGCCACATCACTGCAAGGAGGGGACACATTCATATCAGGCCCAAAGCAAGAGGGACTAAAGGGAGCGGGGGAGGGGCTTCGTTCCATGGAGCAAATGACATCAGCTCTCGATTATCTGTCCATCCAGTAAACACCCATGTCCCCAGCCCTCTGTTCTAGGCATTTCTCTGCTGCCACCTGCCAATGTGAGCTCAGGAAAAAGACGTATTTTCATAGTTTGAGTTCAACACATCTGAGCAAGTAAATTTGCTGCTTACAGACCCCCTCCAATTCTCTGTGCTGAGAGGACGTTGGTAGGTCTGGACTGATCCTAAAATCTCGGCACTTGGCTTTGGAATTCAGAATGGGATTTGGGGGGGGTCTCCTTTTGACATTTGCAGCAATGCCTATTTCAGGTGGTGTTAAAAGAAGTTCACTTTTCTCAGGTGAACGAGTGCCTGAAGTAAGGGAAGGGGGAGCCTGGGATGGGGCAGTGGAGCTGGCTTTGTGGGGACACTTCCGTGGGGTAATCCACAGGCAGAACTGTGATGCCCTCTGGCCTGCTGGGGGCATCGCCATTCCCCTGGCCCAGGGTCAGGAGCCATGCGTTCTCTTTCTCTGTCCCCCATCTCCATCCCAGGGCCCAGTTCAGGCTCTGGACACAGCTGAGTGAACAGCTTAGAGTGACTGATGAGGATAAGAAGGGGGCTGGGGGGCAGCTCAGCTCCTGGGGAACACCCGAGGGGAGTTTGGGGTCGAAATGGGAAAGTGGGGCTTTGGAATGCCCTTGTTTTCAGCCCTGGTGGGGTGTGACATCCAGGGCCAAGGGCTGGGGCCCTGTCCCCTGGGTTTCCAGCCTCTGGGGTGGTGCTAACACTTGTGGCTGGAGGGGCTGCTCCCAGCCACCAGCTTCGTGCTAGAGCTCCGCCCGCCCCCACAGCCCAGGAGCCCCTGGGACTCGCAGGGGACGTAGAGATCACCGGTGCCCACGACACTGCAGCCCCCACTGCTCCTGAGGACGCTGGTGGTCCCTGGGCAGTACTCCGTCCTCAGCACAGGCGTGCTGACCCCACATGGCTCGTACAGGACAGCGCCTTTGGAGCTGCTCACAGCTGTGGAACAGGAAGGAGTGCTCAGAGCCCCGCACTGCGCAACCCTAAGGGGATTGCCCTGACATGTCTCAGCCAGGCCATTCCTCCCACCTGCTGCCACTCACCTCTAAGGACACGCCCATTCCAGCCACCAACTTCCATGTCTTCTCCCACCCCCGACCCCCACCCACATGAAGTGCTCAGAAGGTAGCCATGTGCCTCTCCTCTCTCCCCAGAGCCTTGGCCAGGCCAAGCCTGCTATCTGCTTCACCCTCTCTGCTTCTACTTGTCTTGTCCCTCCTGCTTCAAATCTTCTTCCTCTAGAAAAGCATCCTCCTGTGAGTACGGCTCCTGTGGCTTCTGGGCCCTGAAGCACTGGGACCAGGCTTCGAATCTGCTCCCAGTCCCAACTTCCCAAAGCTATGGGTAGCAGGAGAGCTTTGCCATCAGCCCAGGAGCTCATGGCAGACAGAGCTCTTCCTTTGAGGTAGGGGAGGCATTAGAGGTCTGGGAGGGGTGGTGTGGGCTATCTGTGTTGGGGCAACCAACCCTCAGGACCCCAGAGCCCTTGGGGCTTCGCTCATCTACTTACAGATGTTCACCGGCCCAATGCCTTCACACAGCCTGGGGATAAGAGGAAAAAGAAGACAGGTAACTGCATCAAAGAGAACTAGGCTGAAAAATGTGGCATCTCCCCTCTCCTGCCCTCTCCACGGACCACGTTAGTGATGAGGGCCTGCAGACTGTGTGCTGTTGCGGGTTTTCCATGACTGGGGATGGGTCACAGCAGCAGCAGCCACAGGAGGGCTGGGCGACATGCATACCTGGTGCCTGTCCTTGCTTAACCCTCCCTGATGGGCTCACCTGTGCTCCTCGCCCTCCAGCAGGCGCCTGTAGGTGGCGATCTCGATGTCCAGGCCCAGCTTGGAGTTCATCACCTCCTGGTACTCCTTGAGCAGGCAGGCCATGTCCTGCTTGGCCTTCTGCAGGGCCTCCTCCAGCCCCGCCAGCTTGCACTTGGCGTCGTTGAGGGCCGCCTCGCCTTGCTGCTCAGCCTCAGCTATGGTGCCCTCGAGTTTGCAGCGCTGGGGGACAGGACACAGAAACCCTGGGACCTGGGACCCCTGAGATGGACTCCCAGAGAGAACATGGTGGTGGGTACAGGCCAGGTTCAAATTTGCTGTGAGTTTTCTCCTAGGACTGTGGCATCTGGTTCCTCCAGGGAATTGGGACTGGTTTTCTATCTAAAACACCTCAAGGAGATCTGAGATTTTCCTCTTAGCTATACTGAGCAATGTCTTTGGGGCTAATAGATTTTAGGTGCCTGGTTGGTCTTCACTAACCTAGGAGAATAGAGTGGGTCTGATTTTATGAACAATTCAGAGTCACCTTGTATTTCAGGATCATGGGCTTAGAGTCTTTGAAGGGACCATGGAGAATGTCTTTTCTATACTTCATCTAGTGAAACACCCCTGACATTTCAACTTTGACAGGAGGTCACCTGGCCTCTGACCAGACCCAGCCCTTTCCTGAGGCTGCTTAACCTGTGTTGGCCATCTCTTTTGTAGAAAGGGCTTGCTTCCTCTTCAAAGAGGAGCCACAGGTTTATTCCCTCTCCAGTAGTCCTCCCTGGGAGGACAGGATGTGCCCCACGTGGTCCAGGTTGCCGGACAGCCTTTGAAGGCTTTCATGGCAGGGCAGCCTCCCCCGCCTCACCTGGGCTTTGACGGTCTCAATTTCCTGCTGCAGCCGCTGGATCAGCTTGTTCATTTCCAGAATCTCGTTCTTTCGATTGCGGAGGTTGTCGCAGTGGTTCCCGGCTGTCAGCCTCAGCTCCTCATACTGCCAGGACAGAGAGATCAGAGCCCCAGGCCCATGTGGGGACATCTCCTGCCCCCTTTCTCGCTGTCCTGAGGCTCTGCTCCCATGACTTTGAGCCTGGGTACGTCTGGATGCCCATCCATGTTCTGCTCCCAGAGCCCTCTCCACTGCTGGTCAAGTTTGGAGTCCTTGCGTGGGCTGTTCTTTATTCCCATCCTACTCTCAAGCCTTAAGCCCCTCCCAGACACTGAGATCCCCCTGGCTGGCTGGCTGCTTGGTATCTGGGCCTTTTCTCTCTGCCCCAGAGCCCAAGGTCACCCAGGGGCTCTCTTCTCTTAGATGTGCCTCTGGACCTTAGAAGGGACTGCTGTGCTCAGCTGGGCTCCCCCAACAGACCACTGCCTGTCCTCTGCCTGTCAGCATGAGGACATTTGCGTGTTTTCCCTCGAAACTATCAAACCCAAGATGCAGTGTTGTGTCCTACCTGGGCTTAACACTTTCTAAAAACACCTTTGTATTCTGAATTCAATTTGGGAATAATATGTGTAGATTCCATTCATAGATTTGTTTAAAATGAGCCAACTTTGGATTTTCTGATAGTGGATGGTAGCGTCTTGAATATAAAATGCAAAACAAGAGATAAGCTCATAATTACTCTCTTTGGCTCCTTTGTTATTTGCTGTGGGAAAGCCTATAGTTGCTTAATAAACGTCCACTCTCTCCTTCTTCTTCAAACAGAATCTGCTTTTATTTGGGGTGGCACAGATAAAAAAATATTTCTCAGCCTTCTCTAATCAATGAGATCTATGGCTGCTGCTGGGTAGGCTGCTAGGAAAGCTCTTTTTAAAGTGGGAAGCACTCAGTTGGCATTTTTTTTTTTGTCCCGTTATCCTTCTTCCTGCCTGACATGACATGTGAGGCATTACAGCTATCTTGGTACGCAAGGCAACCACGAGGATGAGGCTTGTGCTAAGGATGGCAGAATGGAAAGCTAGAAGAGTCCTGGGTCCCGATGGTGTCATGGAACCCCCATGTCATCCTGGGCAGCCTAGTTTTGTACTTCAATCTTTCTGAGAAAAAAGTAACAATTGAATTTGTTGTTTTTAAAATTTCTGATCCTCATAGCTAAAGTCAATCCTTAATTAATAGACCTGTCTTCATGATTCTGACTTAGGAGGATGGGAAAATGAGGTGGCTGTATTCCCTGAGCCCACCTGACTGATGGATGGCCCAGGGCAACCAGAGAGGGGCCAGCTGGGGTGAAACCTGGCTGTGGATGGCCACAGACTGAGTCACCAGAAGCTGGCTCAAGGCCAGGGTTTGATACTTTCGATCCCCACAGATCTCCAGGAAACAGGCAGAGAATCACTTGGGATGCTCCCTGGGCAGTGGTACCCATTGTTTTCAGGAAAAAGTCCAAAGGCCTCAGCACAGCTCTGCAGATGTGCTGTGACCCAGCCCCAGCCCACCTCTCCATCCCGATCTCCTTCATAGTGCACAGCTCGTCTTTCATCCTTTTGCATCCGGCTCCTGCCTGGCACCCCTCCCCCATTCTCTGCTCATTGAAATCTTACTTGTCCTTCAAGATCAGGTCAAATGACAATGCCTCTGCCATTCCAGACACAATTTGCTGCTTTTGTCATAAAGCTTCCTTAAGCTGCTTCTCGACTTTCGCAATCACTTTATGCTACCTCGTATTTTGGTTTGGCAGGCCCATCCTTCCTGGCCACCTATTCAAAACTGTACTCCCAAAACACTCCCTACGCGCACTGTGATTTATTTTCTCCATAGCACACATCACCATCTAACTTATTTGTCTTGTTTATTATCTGTCCTGCCCCACTACCCCTGCTCCTGCACCTGCCTCTGGAAGGGAAGTGACATGAAGGCAGCGACAAGTGTCTGTTCTGTGCCCTGCTGGATTTCCAGCTTCTAGAACTGTACTTGGCACATGGGGATGCCCAATAAACAGTGCTGAATGAGGGAACCGATCAGTGAATGCATGCGTGGTGACTTTCAGAGACAGGGCAGGTGACACTGGGATGATAATGTCTGTCAAAATGAATTGCTCTGGGGGGCCCCCCTGCCCTCCCAGCAAGCCCCTAATTACTAAGTCTGGGGCCACCTTAATCACCGTTTCTGCCCCACCATTAGTAACCACCCCATGCCATCGGCCTCCTCCCACGAGAAGCCCAGGGCCCTCTTCGCCATCATCACCAACTAGTATTTATTGAGTGCTGCGGAAAGGAGCACGTCCGGTGAGTCTGCAGGTAAATAAAGCTGTCACCCTGGCGCCCCAGTGACAGGCCTGGGCTGTCTGTGGAGTCCCTCCCACATGCTCTGTAGGGACATGGCCTGGGGCCTGGCAGAGACAGCAGGGGCTGGAGTTTATGGGTCCCCTGTCGCTGTGGTGTGTCACAGCCTTCATTAGCTCCTCACCCACTTCCTGGGGGAGAGAGAGAGTCTGGGGGGGCCCCTTCACCCTCCTCCTCCAGTGTCCCCCGCCCCTGCCCCGGGCCTCACCCGGCACTGGTACCAGGCCTCCGCTTCGGCTTTGCTGCGGCTGGCGATGTCGTCATACTGGGCCTTAATCTCGGCGATGATGCTGTCCACATCCAGCTCCCGGCTGTTGTCCATCTTCACAATGACCGAGGTCTCAGAGATCTGGGACTGCAGCAGGCAGATCTCCTGGGAGGGGCCAGGTGAGAAGGTGTGAGCGCTCTGAGGGCCCAGGTGCAGAAATGGGAAGAACCTGCTCAGACCTTCCCACAGCGGATTTGCGCAGAACCCTGCTACAGCTGTTCTGGGCTTCAGTCACCAACGGGCTCCTTGTCCCCACCCTCTAGTTATCCAGAGCTCTGTGGAAATTTTCCCAGAGGGGTCTGCAAGCTGGGGATCTGGACCATCTGACTTTTGGGGGTCTCACTGCCTGAGAACCACCTCTCCAGCGCTGATCTCTCTACGTGCTCGCCTTGACCCATCCCCGCTGGGCAGACGCTTCCCAGCACCCTCATTCCCTGGGCACCAGCCCCTGACCGACCACCCGGAGGGCAGTGCTGCTGGTACCTCCTCATACAGGCCTTTCAGGAAGTCGATCTCCTGGACTAGAGCCTCTGCATTGGTCTCCAGGTCAGCCTTCATCAGGAAGGCCGTGTCCACCTCCTGCAGCAGAGCAGGGACAGAACCATGACCTTGGCTGGGGCCAGGCAAGGGCCATGCCTTCCACCCACTGGCCCACCTCCCAGGCAGGCTGGGGGCAGGTGCAGGTGTGGGGCCCACCTTTCCTCATTGAGCCCATGTGGATGCAAAGGGGTGATGGAGCCACTGTGGGAGAGGGTCCCCAGCCCCAGGATTCCATGCCTGGGCCTGGTGTCCTGATGGGAAGGAATCTGAAGGGATCTGGGGGTGGGGGGAGGCGGGTTTATAGGAGCCTTGGATGTGGCTTCTCAGAGCTCACTTGGCAGAGCTTGGGCCTGGAAATATCTGGCTACCCGTCTGAGCAACCATTGCGATTGTTTCTATCTTTGGGGGTTTGCGTCAGAGCTTTTGTTTTGCTTCTGATTTGGCATTAGCCCATCTCCAACTGCCAGGGCAGGGCTAGACATGACCCTTACCCAGCTTTGGCTCACTTGAGTTGGGAGGCGGAGGCCAGGCCAATCCCTACCCTTTTGCCAGTGCAGAGGGGAGAGGGAGCTGGTCCAGGAGTCTGGGGGTGAGGACACTTTAGTGGGGTGAGTGGGCTGTAGACACGTTTGGACATGGTCCAGGGCTGGCGGGCCAGCTCAGGGCCTCTCCTCCCTGAGCGCCCTCCCTCACCTTCTTCAAGGCAACAAAGTCGTTCTCGACACAGGGACGCAGGGAGAGCTCCTCTTCATATCTGATGGAATAGGCAGGAAAAAATGCTGTAGTTGGGCATGGAGTTTGGAAGAGGCCTTGGCGTCAGGCCTTTGGGGTGACTCTGCGTGTCACTGAGCACCCTGGGGAGTCACCAGGTCCAGCCCTGTCTCTGGACACCTCTCGCTCCTCCACCCACTCAAGGCTGATGACTGTTACCATGGCTCCTTGTAGACGCTTTTCAAGTTTAGCCCTCCCCTTCCCTAGGAGCCTGTTCCTGTCATGAGCCATCCTCTGGGAAGTCCTCTGTGAGACCCCGTGTCTCTGTCTCGCTGCTGGGGAAGCCCGCTTCGTCTAGCTGCCTCCTCTAGGAGGTGGAGAAAGGCTGTGCTGCACGCACGGCTGTCTTTCCTGAGTCACGGACATTCCCAGTTGGCCCCGTGGTCCTCCTCGCTGGGAGGGTTCTGGGCCTGGCCCCTGCCTGCCATCCCGTCGCAGAGGTAGCAATTACCACTTCACCAGACCCACAGAGACAGCCGACTATTTCCTCCAAGTGCCTTGGGGCTCCACAGCCCACTCACTGCCCCCCCAAGGGCAGAGGGAATCAGCAGGGCTTCAGTCTTCCCAGAATGACTCAGGGGGGTGAGCAACATGGATCCACTAAAAGCATCTCCTTTTTCCAGAACTCTGCCACGGCACTGACATTGGGCACTGGAGCCTTCCGCCTGGATCTCAATCCCGGCTCTGTCACTTGCTGGCCATGGCCCAGTTGGTTAAGTGCCTTGGCCTCTCTGCATCTCATCATCTACAGTTCCATCGTCTGCAAAGCGAGGGTGACACTGTTCTGCTTCGCAGGCTGCTGTGGGTTCATATATCACATGTGTTACTCAGACAGTGCCTGGCACAGGGTCAGTACTGTGTGTTTGCCGCTTCTGTTAGTATAAAATGCAAGTTTGATCTCATCCTTCTTCTATTGTTCCACTTTTAAAAGCTCAAGTTCTCATCTGGAGCTGCAAATCATGTTTCCCAGGTTTACCTGGCTACTTACCCCTCAGGAAGTGTGTTGTTTCTGCAGAGAGGCCAGCCTCCATCCCTCCCACAGCCTCCCCACATTTCACCTGTCACAGTCTGCTAGAGTTGTCCCCTCACCTGGCTTGCTTTGGCCCTTCCTTGTCACCTGCTCCTGTCCCATCCGCACTTCTAGGGTCTACTCTGGATTCCCCTTTTATAAGAAGCCATCGGAATGAAAGTTAGTTATCCTTCAAGGCCCAGAGCAAATGATGCTCCCTCCGGGAAGCCTTCCTGGCCTCCTTCTGCTCCCTCCTTCCACTGGGATTCCTCTCCCCTCTGCCCTGTGCCCTGTTGCAGCTGCTGGTATATATGCCCAGGGGGTCTGTGCATACTGGATGGGCATCTTGAGGGCAGGAGCCAGCCTCTTCCCTCTCTTTAGCACCTGCACTTCCCAGCACAGGGTCTGGCGCCAAGTAGGCACATGGTTGACAGCTGAAGCATGAGTGCCCCCAATGGGGCTCCTGTCCACTGACCCACATCCCTTATGATCTGCTGCTCTCAGTATATTTAAACTTTTCTCCTTAATGGAAAGATGTCCAACCCTCCCACCCACGTGTACTCCCACGGGGCACTGGGCCCAGACCCCAGTGAGGCAATGTATCTGGGCCTAAGCTTCCTGCCAGCACTGGCTCTCCTGGCCAGCAGGCTCTTAGTTACCATATGCTTATCAACCACCTACTCCAAGCTGTGACTCAGACTCTAGAGCTTGCTCTCAGGGAGGGCAAGTTAGCAAGATGGAAAACAGGAACCACAAAGAACTTGGAAGTGACATGGGGAGCAAGAGCTCTGATAATGAGGAGGGAGGTGATTTCCAGCCGTGAGATTTCCAGCAAGCCAGAGTCAGGGGGTGAGAGAAAATGTGGGCTATTGGTCTGGATGTGGTGCTGAGAGGGGGCTTATCAGGCAGAAGGAACAGCAGGAGCAAACCCTTGCAGGGAAGAGGCCTGGGGAACAAGTTAGTCTGTTTGGGGAATAGGAAGTATCAATACTTCAGCATCTGCAAGGGGATTGATGGAAAAGAAGACAGAACAGGTGGTTTGGAGCAGGGACCCGGAGCTCCAGAAACGGCAGGTGAAAGAGCTTCTTTTACAGCAAGGGCAACATGAGAACCTATTTAGGCAGGGAAGTGGAAAGGCAGATGAAGACAATACACGATTTCTGAGCTCCCATGTGCCAAATGGGATGCTCTGCCTACATCATCCCACTTAATTGTTCTGCTGCCCAATGAACTAAGCTACGAAATCTGTAGCTTGCCCCGAGTTCCCTGGTGGGGTGAAAGCAGAGCCAACTCACTTTTTCTTGTAGCCCTCCAGCACATTCTGGAGGCTGCAGAGCTCAGACTCAAGCCTCACGTGCTCCCCAGACACGCAGTCCAGCTGCCGCCGAAGGGCGCAGATGTAGCTCTCGAAGATGGGCTCGATGTTGCTCTGGCAGCACCTCTGCTGCTGCATGAAGTTCCACTTGGTCTCCAGCAGCTTGTTCTTCTGCTCCAGGAACCGGACCTGTAGCCAAGAATGGGATGTCACCAGGTGGCAGGGACCGTGAGGACCACAACTTGGAGAAGGCAGTGGAATGAGTTTGTGCCCTCTCTCTCAACACACTACTGCCAATGCACTAGAATTCGCAAAAATCATAGTCTCCACACAAACTGGCACCTGAGGGTATGTGTCTCTGTGTCTCCCATGCCTGGGAGAGCTGGGGGACCCCAATCTTCCACTCAGGGGTTGAGTGTTGTAGCGGAAAGCGAACTGCCCAAGAGGCCTGGGGTAGGTCCACATTCCAGCCCTGCCTGCCTGCCTCTCACTACCCTTGCGACCTTGACCACGCCATCCTATCCCTTCCAGGCTCACTTTGATCCCAAAACCTCCTACTTGGGGTCTTTGCATGGGAAAGCACTCTGTAAATCTTCATGCTGATGTAAGAATGTGTGATGCTTGGGAGTTGAGGCTTTCTTTTATTGCGGCCCAGAGGCACTCAGGGGAGAAGTTAAGGTCAAGGGTTTTTGTCCTAGGACTCTAAGCTCCTTTCACCTACTCTGCTGCATCCTGCTGGCTGTATCTGAAAAAAGTCCAGGTCATAGTAATGTGGAAGCTGCTAGCCTACCTCCTCCCTTTTTGTGGCTTGAGAACCGAGATTAGGAGAATTTGAATGAGTTGACCATGGTCACCCGGCTAGTCATTGACAAAGGGAACATGGTCTCTAGTGTTTGCTCTGGGATTTTCCACATGGTGCATCCTCTCTCAAGACAACTTCAGGAGTAATGAGGCCCTTTTTATGGTTGATAGCCACACCAGCAGGAGGCTCCTGGCCTCACAGAAAGAGGTGTGATGTTGCTGATGATCAGGGCTCATGTTGGAATGAGTTTATGGCCAGAACTTAATAAGCTTTAAAAAGGAAACTGTAGATGTGGCTAAACAAGTACTTTGTGGAGCACTTTTGCATGTATTACCTCCCTCAGTTCTCCCGCCAGCTCTCTTCTACCTCCCCACTGGGCAGCAGGGTCCCCGAGGCCGAGACATTAGTGGCGTGCACGGGGATTCAGGGTAACAGGAGTGGAGCCCACACCAGGGCCCAGGTCTCCTGACTTTTGGCCCAGGACTCTTGCCCCTAAACTTTGGGTCACCAGAAATTCCAACTCAGCCCTGAGCATGGATCCTGACTCCAAGAGCCTCCCTAGGGCATGGGGACAGGCCCAGGAGCAGCTGAGGGATGCCAGTCAGTTCAGCACCTTCTATAGGAAGCACCTTCACCTTCCCCGTAGGCTTTCAGAGCCGTGGTTCTGGAGTCGGCAGATGTAAGACTTTCGTGACAGCCACCTTGTGCCTCTAGCTCTGACTGCTCCACTTTTTCCTCATCCCAGGCCTAAACTGACGGCAAATTCCAGGGTCTTAGTGCCCATCCTTGCTTCAGGAACGGGAGTCTTGACCCAGCTCAGGCACACAGAAGATGATTCTATCATTGAGGCTTCATCAGAAAGGGCATTCTTCTGCCTCTTTGGTCATTCCTTTCAGTATTGCTTTGGAAGTTCCTCTTATAGTCTAACCTCCAGCAACCTTGGTGACTTTGCCAGAGATAGATGACATATTTAAAAAAGGTCTCAAGCACTGGGACTCAAGCATTACAAAAGTGATCGACGTAACCTAAAACATTTGTACCCCCTTAATATTTTGAAATTAAAAATAAAAAAAAGGACCGGGGGTGGAAACATTCAGTGTGGAGTCTGGTCTAGCATCTTCCAAAGATAAGTGGTCATGGACTGTGGGAGAGGCCAGTGGAAAAACTGTGGCTTCCCCCGGGCCTGAAAAAGACCGGATGACAGATCTGCAGTGGATCTCATCCTGCGGCCCTGGAGCGCTGGGCCCGCACCTTACCTTGTTGATGAAGGATGCAAAGCGGTTGTTGAGGCACTTGATCTGCTCCTTCTCGTCCCTCTTCACCCTCTGCACGGTCGGGTCGATCTCCAGCTCCAGCGGGACCAGCAGGCTCTCATTGATGGAGACAGGTGTGATGCAGGCAGAAGGCCCACAGGTGGCCCCCACTCGGTACCCGAAGCTGGGCAGGCCACACCTGGAGGCGACCCGGGGCCTCCCGAAGCCCACGTTGCACAGGCTCCGTGAGCCAAGGCAGCCCAGGGCCCGGAGGCCCCCGGACCCCACTGGCCGACACGGCCCCTTGCTCACTGCATAGTGGGTGACCATCCGGGGCATGACGGCAGAGTAGGAGCTGAAATTCTGACTGCCACATCTGGACCTCGGCTGGAAGGAGCGGCACGACATGGCAGGAGAGAGAGGCAGGGAGACGTGGCCCTGGAGGGAAGGATGGGGGCAGGAATGAGCCGGTTGTGGCCCGGCTCCCCCCTTTTATTTGGTAGAGAGATGGAGGGCTGAGCTGGGTCAAACCCCAAATGAGGTTTATGAGCTTGGGATATTGGCAGCGCTAAGTAGCAAGGTGGATAATTAGGGTAGCCAAGAGCAAAGCGAAGGTGCCAATGGCCAGTGCTGGTGGGCCCCATAAAAATCCCACTTGTCCTCCTTCCCTGTTTGTGGGGGAGATGAAAGAGGCCAGCCAGACAGATATGTCTGCCCTATGCAGTGTCTTGGCCTCAAGGAAAGGGAGAGTCGGGATTTTACGTCGTTTCATAGGAGAGGAGGGGGCGGTGTGAATTACATGCCCTGACTTCCCTGGGATTAGAGGGCAAATCCCACATGCGTGAGGGTGCTCCGTCTACTTCCCAGCTTCCCCCGCTGGCCAGGAGGAGATGGGCATGTGTGGTCTCTCGCAGAGAGTGCAGTAAGACGTGGGCTTCAGGTTAAAATAGGGAAGAATTTCCCGAGGTGGATTTAAAGCAAAGGAGGTTGGGGCTTCATTGTCTTTAAAAATAAAATTGATCTCTGTCCCCCTTGGGTCATTTGAGACTTAAGCAGGATGTTGAAAGTGATGTTCTGAGGTCGTTTTCCAAGCTTTGCTTCCCAGATGGTGGGTGAGCAAAGCAAGCCCAGGTCTTGCCATTCACATCTCCTGAGGAAAGTCCCCTTCCTGGGTGAATGCACATTTACGCCCTTGGGAGGCCCATCATCTGGGACGCTTCCCTTGCATGGGCTGTGTGGGGCCCAGGCCCAGGTCTGCTCAGAGGCAGGGGCAGGGACTAGATGACATCTGGGAGTTCGGCCACACCTGCTCCTTCAGGTTATCAGTCTCAGAGCGCAGCCTCTGCATCCCCGGTTCAGCTCTGAGGTCTCCATCTTGGTGGTCGGAGTTTGTCCCCGAGTGGTGGGCAGAGCGCCGCAGCTCCTTGTACCGGGTAGAGGGAGAAGCAGGCCTTGGGTGGGGTGTGTGTGCAGCAGGCAGGGGCAGCCAGGCCAGAGAAGAGAAGGCTGAGGCCTCCCAGGGCCCCAGAGGCATTTAACATGCTGCTTGGAGGCGCCCCGCTGGGCCTCACCTGCCCATCAAACCTGTCTGCGTTGTCTCTCGGCTCTGTCCCTCATTTCCAGACCCACCGGTTTCGCCCCACAGCTGGACAGCGGTGGCCATGCTCTTCCTTCTCCTCTTCCTCTGCCTGGTCCTGTGCCACACATCTCACCCTCCAACTCAGCATCATGCAGGGTGCCCATCACTTTTCCTGTGTGTTTATTCATGTTCCTTGGAACTACAGTTGCATCCCCAATGACTCCCAGCTCAGAGAATTTCTCTCATCTGGAAAATCCCATTCTGTGACCCATATCAAGCCCCCACCCCCAGCCCCTCGGCTCCAGCCAGTTCCCTCTCCTCTCTGGCTCCTCTAGCCTCTCCCACGAGGCACTGAATTCTCCCTGTCCTCACACTCCCTCTCTCTTCCCCTGTTGGCACTGGTGGCCGGAACTTCCTAGCTGTCCCTTGTCTCTCTGACACAGGGCACTGGAGGTGTGTCCATCTTCCTCTTGGCAGAGTGACCGACCACCTCCCGCCTTCATCTTGCTGTTCCCCCAGGTCCTGAGGTAGTGCTCAGAACACAGGGTGAGCCCCACGCTGAACTCAGATCTCGTCCACCCCATCAGACTGGGGTGTCCAAGAGGACAGGCTCTTACCCTGTTTGCCTTTGAAACCTCAGTTCTCTGTGCTTGTCTACTTGGTTTGGCCTTGTTGCCTCACCTTGGTCTGGTACCAGGTTGGCCCGGCTGCAGTTGGCTACGTCTTCTTCACACTGGGCCTTGACCTCAGCGATGATGCTGTCCAGGTCCAGGTTGCGGTTGTTGTCCATGGACAGGACCACAGAGGTCTCAGAGACCTGGGCCTGACACTGAACCAGCTCCTGTGGTTGGGCCCAAACGAGAGAGCCGAGCAGGTGTATGTGTGTGCGGGGAGACTGTGCCCTGCCCCAGGCATGCACTGTCGGGGTGCCGTGCCCTGCTTAGGGCCTAATGTCTCGGGAGTACATTGGGGAGGTCACCGAGTTTACAGCTGTTCTTTACCATCAGCTAATCTGCACAGTGGAGCAGCAGCACAGGTAACTCTTGCCAGAATTCTCCAGAAGCCACTCCCGTCATCAAGGCAGCACACCTGCTGCAACCTGTCAGTACCACAGTGTCTCATGTTCTGAGAAAACACAGCCCTTCACACCAAATGAAGAAATTATCTTGTGAAAGAAAACTGAGTCAGAAGGAGCCAGAAAACTCAGATACTTCCCAATCGTGTTTCCCAATGTGGCTCCTCCCTGCTCCTCAGGGAAGGGAAATGGAAATCAGCTCAAATGGCAGAAAGGGCCCCAGACAGACAGATTCAAGTCTAGGATCTGCTGAGCAAGTTAGCACCCTGGTCTCGGAGGGGCGGATCATAACACTGGCCTCGTAGGATTCCTGCGAGGATTAAATGATGTCTATATGAGAGGGTTTGGGAAACAGTAAACCTACAATTAATTTGTTAATGATCACTTTTCAGGATCATGTAAAGCAGTGGTTCTCAAAATGCAGCCTCAGACGAGCAGCATCAGCCTCACCTGGAAATTGATTGACATGCAGCATTTTGGCCCCATCCCAGACTCAACTGAATCAGAGTCAGTGTTATAATGAGACCTCTAGATGATTCTGGTACTCTTTAAAATTTCAGAATCACTGTTCCAAAGCAAAAATCTAAGTAAAAATATCCCTTCTCTCTCTTTTATTAACAACTGGTTCATACAATTCCTTTTTCAGCAAATTATTATTGTGTTGTTTTTGTGCAGCAGTTAGTTTTTCCCAAATAGTTTTTCCTGGTTGCTGACCTAGTTTGAATGCTTGCTGGCTGTGGCTAGTTCAGAATCAGAAGCCAACACCACACTTGTTGAAGAGAACAAGCAGGGAAAAGGAAGACTTTGTGTCCTACGTGGGCTGCGAGGTGGCCAAAGACTCAGAGCTGACGCTCCGGGTCCTAGAACAACATGACCAACTTCTGTTGGGCACCCAGTGTATGTAACCCCATGGGCATATCACCTGTCCTGACCAGGCCTTCCTGGAGGAGCACATCCACCCTTCACCCCCCACCCCACCAATCTCCCCCTCATCACATTGCCCCAGCCACACGGGCCTCCTCTGGGCACTCCTGGGTCACACCTGGGGCACTTGTACTTCCCGGTCTCCCCGGCTAAAACACTGTCCCCTCCCACCTCCCACTGTCTTTCTGGCTCACATCCTCAATTCCTTCAAGTCTCTTACCCAATGTCACCTCCCCACTGCCTGCGATGCTGTCTATTGTCATTTCTCCTCATTGCCCCCATCACGCTGGAAATGGTACAGTTATTCGATCACTCTGAATTGCCTGTCTCCCGCTATCATGTCAGCTTCGAGAACTTAGGAGCTCCGCGGAGCATGCTCAGTGCTGTACCTGCAGCCCTGTGAAGAGCATCCGGGTACTGCACAAAATGTGTTTTTGGGAGAGCAGGGCAACTGTGCGTGTGCTTCCAGAAGCACCTGAGGGCTCACTAATTGCCACTTGATATGTGTAATTGCATCATCTTGCAGTTGCTCTAGGAAGAGCAGCAGGTAAATTTGGGCTGGGCTGGGTGAGTCAAGCTGCTCAGAAAGTTCTATGGAAACTTCATTGATAGGCAGCCAGTCCTCCGCCTGCTCGACAGAACATGCCTGGTCCAGGTGGTCAAGGCTGAAGTTTTTACCTCTCCTCACCTGCCAGCTGCCCAAGGGAACCTCCTTTTCTCCCCTGGTAGGGGATGAGGAGCAAAGTGAAGACCAGGGATGGAGCCAGCAGCTCCTGTGCCCAGCTGCGGCCCGGCGCCCTGCCCCTGGCTCTCCTGGCATGGTGCTGGGCACTCTCACCACCCTGCAGGAAGCTCTCAGAAGTTCATCTCATCCACCAGGGCATCCACCTTGGCCTCCAGTTCCACCTTGTTCATGTAGATGGCGTCCACGTCCTGGGCACAGAATATGCTGTCACTCTGGATCCCACCCTTCCTGGGCTAACCAGCCCCCTCCGCCTGTGAGTTAGGTGGGAGAATTTCAGCTCCTGAGAACAAGGGCATTTGTCTATTCCAGGCCAAGGAGTGGAACTGGGTGGGGAGGGGGAAGGTCCAAACCCTGTGAGGACCAGGGCTCTCCGAGATGCCCATCTGCTCATCAGCAAGTGCCATGTGGAAAGGTACTCCCATGTCACTTCGCATGGTGAGGACAATCCTGTCCTGGCCCTTGGGCTTCTGCTGCCTCTGGGCTCTCCAAGCCCCTCCGGGCTGCCATGGCTTCCCTGCTCCCCTCACCCCTCTGCCTGGTCCCCTTCATCACACACTGCTGCTCCCTTCTTCCTCCTCCGGCTTAGCCCTGGGGCTGGCTCTGCCCCCAACCCCTGGCCCGTGTGCCCCACCAACAGAAAGGCCTAGAACTCCATGGTGTGAATGCCTGTCCCTTCCTTACCCCCCGTCCTCCCAAGCCTGACGGCGTTCTGGGGACTCGGCTCAGGACAGGCCCATTGTGCCTCCCCTCTGCACGCTGGTGTCATGATTTACAGCTCAGACTCTGGGGTCCTGGACCCTGACTCACTTCGGATTATCTGAGTAACCCTGGGCAACGTTCTTAGCCTCCCTGAGCCTCAGTTCTCTCTCTTTCAAAGTAAGACCGGCTCCTAAGACTTGTGCAAATTGAGTAACGCCTTGGATGCACGGCCACTGGCCTGGGCGGCACCGCCCCAAGGGCAGGACCACCTCTGTCCACGCAGCGTCTTGAGCACCACAAACGCATTCTCTGTTGCTTTGTGTCTGTTGATTTCCTCCTCGTTCCTGCGGGAAGGATGAAGTGGCTGGGGTTGGAGCGGGTTCTGGGAGTGAGGTCAGAGCAGTGGGTGTAGTGGGCAGCCACTGGGGGGGCAGCAGAGCGGACTCAGAGAACATCGTACTGTCACCCAGCTCTCCTGTCACACACGTGCCTCCAACCGCC